CCTCGTTATCACACCCAAAACACACCCGTGGGTATTCGGACATGCTAGCACACCCCCTTACCCCCTCATTTATCACACCCCAAACACACCATTTGCGTGTTCGGACGTGCTATCACCCCCCCCGGTTGATCACACACCCTTACGGGCCCAAGCGAGCTGCACTTTATCACCCAGGCTACATAAGATACCACACCCCCCACAGGATACCACACCGGGTGATATTTTTTGATAGCCCAGAATGTTATCACCGGGGTGTGTTATATTGTGTCGTCTACGGTAGTCTAATAAAGTAGTTTGATTTCGGCTTCTACATAGCTCAGTGGTTCAGGTTGCGACCGCAAAATCTCCTGGCTCTACATAGACTGCGGGTTCGTTCGCACGTCCCCCGGAGTAAACCTCCCAACGCCCCCGCAATCTAGAAGGCGAAAAGCGTAATAGTTGTGGGCACACAACGCAGGACCGCTTCGACTGTTCTCCTGTCGGTCGGAGAGGCACGGCACATTCATTATTCACCTGTTTGCTGTTTGCAGGTCTGCTTATTGGGGAGATAATAATATCGGCGCAAGCTACACATCGGGGAGACCGATGCATAGAAAAGGCAATACGAGTGCACAGCAGTGCTACAAAAGCAAGGAGGGATGAATGCAGAGATGCAGGCAGGGTAAAACAGGCGTGGAGAAATCAATCCGATACAGCATTAGCGTTGCGAATTTCAAGAGTTATTACTGGTACTAGTCTACAGCAGTAGCAGTCGATGCTACTACTACGCATTAGTTTCCAGCTTCCAGCAGGTAATTCTCCCGCGTTTCCGTGACACCATTCCTCCGCATCAAAAAAATCACTGCACCCTGCTTTTGCTGTGTCCAGACGTTCGGTCGTGCTCGTCACCTTGTGAAGTCGCCAGGGGTAGCGTGTAGAGGAGCGCTGCTACTACCGCAGTACGACGGGGCATCATCTTCTCCTCCGCTCACGGGCGTCTTTTCCATCACAAGCGCTGAGCGCCGAGCCTGCCTGTTCCGAATCTGTCGGTGCGGTTTCGAAGTCGACCCGTACCGGAAACCCCCCCCCCAAATGTTTCTATCTGCGGGCCTCCTCACGCTAATCTTTCTGGTTGCCACACCCACCTGCTACTTGCATCGAGCACCTACGCCGGCTCGCTACCTAAGGTGAGAAACGAGCCCCCCTGGGGGCCTCCGGAGCGGGTCGGACCTCTTTGTAACACCGTCTGGGCCGTGGTTGCTTGTCTGGTGAGGGCTTTCACCCATGTCGATTCTTTTGCGTCCTTGAGTTATTTTTTTTCTGTTTTTCTATCCTCCACGACACTTAGGCGTTCCGCTAATGACACACGTACTTGAGGCGGGAAGAGTCCGGTCTAGTCTGTTGACCTCAGGGATTCCCGCCCGCTGCACCTGTGCAGCCCGGCAGCCTTGACGGGGTTCTCAGTAGCTGCTACTCATCGTGCAGGCTTGCGCTGATACCGCACGTGGGTTGGACGGGGGTTTGCAGCAAGGGTGCTTCGGCGGGGGGCAGGCACAGCAGGCAGCGGGCGGACCGAAATGACAGATGATGTGTCTGATGATGTGTCTGTCGCCCATGTTTTTTTTTTCTTTTCTTTCACGTGTTTTCTGCTCCGAAGAAGTTCGCACGCAACTTCGAAGCACCCCTCGCGCTCCGAACTAGCCTTGTTACCCGCATCCGTTTAGCAGTCCGATCCAGTGTTGTAGAAGCTCGAAGGTTTTGTATCCAGAAAACGATTGTTAGGAGAGAGCGGGGTCGTCGATGGGGCAAAGCGGTCGATGTTATAAGTTCCATGAATGTCTCCGATCATACGGATGCATTTGTATATCGTGCTCGGGAAATCCATCTGCAAGGAGGCCAGAACATGATGTCTGTCTCTCACCAATTTGAATTTTCCCCTCTCCCCAGACATCACTCGATATCATCAAAATCACGAATACTGCGCCGCCGGATCATGGTGCCACGAAGCTCGAGCAGCAGAGAGGAGGGAGGATGTACGCCCCCGCTTCGTTGTTCGGCCTCGCCGCCGCTGCTCTTACTCGCCGCCGCGGCCGCCGCCGGCCTGTTCGCCGGGGGAGGGGCGATGGCCACAGCCGGCGGCGTGGTTGAAGCAGCATCAACAACACATACGGGCGTAGGAGAACAACATCGACGCCATCATCATCACAACAATCACCATCACAGAAAAGACGCGGCCACGGCGTGGGTGGTGACGCCCGTCGGGGGGGGCTTCGCTTCCCCCAGGAGCGGCGTCAGGAAAGCGACGAACGCCTTGAATGTGAGCAATGAGGCCGCCGCCCCCCCCCCCCC